GTCCATTTTGTAACAAATTTACAGAGTTGAATATATCTTAATGTAAAAGTAAGAGAAAGTTGAGCAGTTGTAAAATTCATTAAATGAATTTTATCAAGAGCACAACTATCTTGATCCGAATATTCATGAAAGCGGACATAAAGAAGACAGTGAAGTGGGTGCAAAACAGAGACCAGACAAACAATGCAGAATGCATCAAATATTCATCAGACAACATTCAAGAAAATCTAGTTTTCATGTTCAACATCATAGTATAGAGTTGCTAATTCTTCCAGGAATGCAATTCAAGCATCATCTATTCACTTCAGAAACCTAAGTCAAAGAAGACAGATGAGCCATGAGACACCATCTTCCATCTTTTCTTTCCATCTTTTACAAGATGCTGATCATCACTCTATTGAAGAATTTAGGCGAGATTAGAAAAATATCATTCCATCGGCTCAAGCAGTAGACACACCCAGATATTCAACAAATCCGAGCAACTAAACTTCTAGCAAATACAAAAAGTATTCTTGATTATATTTAACATGTCATAAATCTTTGATAGTATTGAGAGAGAGTATTCCAGTTTTTAGATATTTTACAAGATAAGCTTCACTTGCTAAACATATTAACTAGCATATCAAACAAAGGTTAATGAAACACTCGGAAGGATTTTTGTAACATTGTTTGGTATCATGTAAGGGAATGCCTTTGCGCAGTCTTATTCGTTTTATCTTATCTAGCACAGGTATTGGAGAATGAAGTCAATTCAATACAAAACATTCTTGTAATGAAACCAAAATATGCTGATGATATAATGCATCTCACTGACAATGATGAAATATTTGAACAAATATAGATTCCCACCCTATTTGAACTAGGAGAGTTAAAAGTGAACTATACCGAAACTAAGATCTACATTATACTAAAGCTTCCCCCAATCCACCACTATTAATGATTGAAGAACTCAAAGAACATTAGAATAAAACATTTGCTAGTCAGCAGTTGCTTGGGATCTGATACTGAATTAATAATGTTAGAGAGAGAGAATTCCAGTATTTGGAAGATATTTTACAACCAGATGAGCTTCACTTGCTAAACATATTGACTAACATAACAAACACAAATGTGGATCAAATTCTTGGCAACCCTGAAATATTTGAATTGCAAAACGTCATATTCATGGATGCTTCACATATCTGAGGTAGATTTCTCTTCGTCCAATGATCAAAATTATATTATTATTTTATCTTAGATTCTATGTCACCTCACATGTTTGTATCTTCTAGCAGACAAAAAAATTGTTTTCTCTTGAAGTCTCTGATTGTCATCGTACTACAAAAGTCAAAGATAAAACACAACAATAATAATAATAATAATAATAATAATAATAATAATAATAATAATAATAATGCTGGGAAAGTGTCGTAAGACACTAAAGTGATTGCAACGAAAAAGAGACGAATAACGAAGTTGTTTCTTTGGTCGAGTCTGTTTTTCATTCATTCTGCCGCTGTTTCTTCGGGTAACCTTATGGATCCCGTTTTTCGACACTATGGAAAGTGACCCTGATGAGGTGAGTTTTCCTTCTGGATAGTTCTACAGTGTCGTTCCGTCAATGTTTTTTGTGCCCACCTTGTGTTGTAAAATAGCGTAAATGTGATAGCGTCAGAGGAAAAAAGTTATAATAGAAACTCTTGTCCGAAATTTCGTCTGATTGGTCCGATACAATTGCAAGCAATAGTCGCCTGATATTGTTTTTATGGCGGAAGAGATATTTTATTCAGGATCATTCTTTTGATTGGTCTGTGATTACGTAATTTTTTTTCGACAAGCCAATCAAATACTGCCAAGTGAATTGTTGAAAATTAATATTAAAACATTAAGATCGAAAGTGATAGCTCGAATGAGTTTAATGTTTAAATCAAAATTTTTCAATTTAACATCACTCATAATCTTCAAAAATAACCTGTTATGAAAAAGTTTTCAAAAGAACTTACAGAACTTTGAGTCAAGACGATTATGTGTAACATCTGTCAGCTGAACTGCTAGTCAACAGAGCTGACTTTTTCAGCCGTTAAGTCAACTTAAGTTTGTATTCGATTAATATTCTACTTCTTACATTATCTCTTTTAAAATTTATTAAAGTCTTTTTCTTTTCATGGGAAAATGTCTTTTCCACCTAAGCGCAAATTTTGATTGGCTGTCAATCTTCAACAAGACACTTCTACACTAGCCATTAATGTCAAAGAGACGACATGACGTCATCATTTGCTGCAAAGCCGAAGTATTGTTTAAGAAAATAATTTGATACCGGGTGGGGGATTATAAAACTAAAAGCGTAGACGTTTTAACAGTCACGTGACATTCGGAAAAGGTTATCTAAACTTTACTTTAATTTCAACTAAAATTTGTATGTTTCTTGAATTTCTTTCTATCTTACTATTTTTATCTCATCTTAAGTGCAACCAACATTTGAGCTAAAACAACATAAGAAATGCATTTCAAATAATTTAAATGTCGTCTTTTTCGTAAGGTTTTGGTTTTATTTGAAAGATAATAGCCTAAAGTTAATCTATAATGAAGAAAAATAATTTTAAGTATTTCAATAAATCTTTAAGGCATTTTAAAACATTTTCAGTTCATTAATCATCGATCAACCATTTCAATTGAAAATTGAATTATTTTTAACAACTTTGTTGGTTAAAATTCAAACAAAGTTATTAAAAATAATTCAATTCTGTTGGTTAAAATTCAGAAAGGTGATCCAGAATTCTTTCCTATTATCTCCCGTAGAAAAAAAAAATTAATCATCTAACTGTTGGAAAAAAATTAAATTCATTTTTAAATATTTCACATTCGAAAATGGCATAAAACTTTACATTTTTCGATTTTCCAAACACATATATATATATTTGTCATCAGCACACGGAAGAATTTCAAAATTACATTGACAAATTTCAAGTAAATTTAAAAAAAACAATAAATGTTCAATTTAGATTTTTTTCCCTTCTAAATTTGAAAGAAAATAATATTTTTTTATTAAATTATACAAGTATCAAAGCTCCACAATTTTCTTTTCCTTTCATTGAATCTGTTGCGAGCCGATGTATCCGGTTCCCAACTTGTTCTAGGTATTAGTAACGTCGGTGTTTGAAATTGGGAATAACACGCTGTCTGCTGAAATACCCACAACAAACATGGCGGACTTGGGATGTGAGTCCACGTAAAAAAATGTAAAGAAAGGACAATACCCAATATATATGTACAAACAAATGATAATGTATTTAAAACAAAGGTATACAAGCGACAAAGACAATAACGTGGGTAACAAATTAATGTGAAAAACTTTTTGGTCCAAATTATGTGTAGTGAGTGAATGTGCGTATGTACGTGTGTGTATATGTATACGTTTCCCAAAAGAGAACGCGTTCTCCGCGAGAGGTTACCTGCTAACGAATAAGCGGATAAAGTAAGAAAAGAATGAGAAAAATATCGCAGAGTATTTATAGTCCGGAGAGCGTCCCCTAGTAGCGGTTTCGAAAATTAGGGGGAGGTAACCCGACAAATCAGGACAAACTTTCAAGATGTTCACTTCTGATGCCTTAAACATTTTCCCTTATACAATATTTTCATGCATATTTCTTTATAATCTGTAAAAAAATATTTGTCATGACACCCGATTTTAAAAGTGCTTCCACAAAGTTTTCTAAGGAAAAAAACTATTCAGTTTACAATTCTTTCATTAAACGCATCTATTTTGACTTTGTAAAAAAAAAAAACTTCACGTAAATGGTAGATTTCGTTTAATTTAGGATTTTTCCTTTTTTATTTTCTTGTCTGAAGTAGAAAATATTAATTTTAATATTGAAAATGTTTGTTTTATTTCGGTAATATTAGCATTACTGTTATTTAATATCTAATATCAAGAAGACTCACGTTAGACCTCTCTGACCATAGCTCAATTAGGACCCATTTAAACACACGGAAACCTACCAAATTCCATGCGCAACATATTCGTAGAAAATACAAGTATAATACCCTCATCAACATACAAAAATAGACTAAAAATAATGGAAGCATTTATAATAAAAAATAAAAAAGCCAATACTCAATAATATCAATTATGAATACGGTCACAATGTGTTTGCAAAACAAAGAAAAACATTCCCATTACTCTAGAAACATAAAATACACATTCAGTTAAAATTAAAAAAATTGAAACATACTTAATTATGGCTAACAGAATAGCCGAAACCGATCGGATATATAGACATTTGAACATTTTTTTACACACTTTATGTTCAGAGAAGAAATCACTTATACGAACACAAAAAAATAAAATAAAAAGCTTAATCGTAGTATCTTACCAGTCGTCTTAAATGAAAATTGTATGAAAGACGGATTACTGCCTAAATACACAATTATATATATATATATATATATATATATATATATATATATATATATATATATATATAGGAATGCAATTTCTCACACATCCTTAGGAGTTGACTAGAGAGATTCCTTTTTAAGTCAATTTAATGACCTGGATTTTTCAGGAATCCAGTCTCCAAACCGCCTTTGAATAGTCAAACATAAAATTTTGTTAGTGATATTAGATAGATAAAAGAAACTGAGCACCAAAATTCTGTTTGATTGGTCCCTATTTCCGGTTGGTTGAACACAGTTGGACGGAAAGGAGTGGTGGGTATAATGATTAGTCAGTAAAAGGTGACGGCAGTCAGTGAAACGGCCAGCAGTCAGTATGACGGTCAGTCATTGAGTGTTTAGGGGTCCTCTTTCCGTGTCCGGGAGTTTGTGATATGCGATTAAGTGAGAAATTGTGTTTTTTTTTTATTCTTCCCAACCAGTGTCTTGAAAAGCATCTGTCGTTATTCTTTGTTGACGTCGATCACAACCCTAAAATTGAAACAACCCTTGGATGTGATCACAGCTCGTGCAGTGACGTGCTGAATACCATCATCAGAATTAGTTGCCGTGACAAGGATGAGAGCCTAAGTTGCCTCGGAAATAAGAAAAATAAAGGAAAACTGAAAAAGTGAAAGAAAAAGTAAACACAACATCGAAGTGAAGAAGAAAAGGAAGAAAAAGCGAGCTGTTAAAAAGTAAATAATTTTAAAATGAAAGAAAAAGGAAACACAACATCGAAGTGAAGAAGAAAAGGAAGAAAAAGCGAGCTGTTAAAAAGTAAATAATTTTAAAATGAAAGAAAAAGGAAACACAACATCGAAGTGAAGAAGAAAAGGAAGAAAAAGCGAGCTGTTAAAAAGTAAATAATTTTAAAATGAAAGAAAAAGGAAACACAACATCGAAGTGAAGAAGAAAAGGAAGAAAAAGCGAGCTGTTAAAAAAGTAAATAATTTTAAAATGAAAGAAAAAGGAAACACAACATCGAAGTGAAGAAGAAAAGGAAGAAAAAAAGCGAGCTGTTAAAAAAGTAAATAATTTTAAAATGAAAGAAAAAGGAAACACAACATCGAAGTGAAGAAGAAAAGGAAGAAAAAGCGAGCTGTTAAAAAGTAAATCATTTTAAAATGAAAGAAAAAGGAAACACAACATTGAATTGAAGAGGAAAAAGAAGAAAGGAGAGAACTGTTGAAAAATAAAGAAGTTTTAAAAAAATAAATTTCGTTGAAAAAAAACGTGAAAAAAGGAAGAAAAACGTGAGAATTTAAAAAATAAATAAATAAATAAAAAGAAAGAAAAGTGAGAAAGTTTGAAAGTTCTTTTTTGTTTTGTCGACAAAGAAAAATTCAAATTTGCACACGACAAGGAAAGATAAACAGGAAAGGCGGACAAACACACGAAAGAAAATAAAACAGTTGCCATCAAAGTAAGAGTTTTTTTTTTAATCTCCTTTACGTCTCGCTATTTCACCGATTTTTATATTTTTTAAATTTAGTCCAGCGACATTTATTCTTTTTATTTTGTTTGAGTGGCATTTTTATCTCTTTTAGCAATAGTAATATCTTTTTTTGTGTGTGTATGTTTAATATTTTTTATAAGTATAGATAGAGTCGACATTGATGCTACTCCCCAACCCATCTCTAGAGTGGTATCAGGGGTGGGGTTCCGGATTCCTATATTCATGAAAGCCATCGGAATTTCGGGTTTGGATAGAAGCGCTGAAAAAGAAAGCCACAATCCATAATCTGACGTCGGCAGAAATTGCCAACTTGGCATATAATTATTCGGATAGCACTGTTTCAGAATATATAGGTTTATTCCTCGAAGAAAATCCTGCAGCTGGTTGGACAGACCTCTTACAACAGCTAACAATTCAATACAGAGAATACATAAGCGCAGCTGACGCCGCTAGAGAATTAGTTAGAATTAGATATGGTGAGAGGAAAACGTTGTCAGAACTAGATAGTAGAGTTCTATACTTGGCCAAAATCGCCTTTAAGAATGTGTACAGAGATACAGAGAAGCCGCCCAAACCCAACTGGCCGAATATTATACAGACGCCATTAGAAACACATTTGTAACGGCAGATACAGCCAGGGCAGCACCGACAACACTTCCAGAGGAATTTGCAGTGGTACAAAGAAGTGACAGACTGTTTGAGAGACTGCAGAAGGTATGAGTTATACGTGCCGGCCAATGCTTACGGTCGTTGCCCGTAGTGAGAAGCGATCTCCTAAAATTTGGAGAGATAATTACTTTAAAAAAAAAGAAAAAAAAAACAGACAGCAAAGAGCTCTTGTTAGAAGACAGGGGGAAATCCCGAATCCCCAGACAACGTCAGCCCCATGCCGGTCTTGAGTCGAAGTCAATTTAAGCAGAGGGCTTTTGGGCGAATTAACAGTTGGAGCGGCGGCAGAAGAGACGAGACGAAACAACAGTGAAAGGAACTGTTGAGCCCCATGTGACCTGCCGCCAAGGGAATTCCCGACTTCAGCCTTGTTCCAGAATTAACACCGATAGAAAAAAGTATTACTATAGAGAATTGCAGTGGGAAGGGTTTATTTTGTATACAACATAAAATCAAATCGAAAGTTAACCAAAGTCTCTGTTTTCGTTTGCGTGATTTTTGCAAAAAAAAACATCATTATTTTTTTACAACATAGCCAATTCGCCGAGATTTGACTCGACGCATTGATCACCGCCGTAATCGATTCCGCCGACCCTGTGATCAAGAACACAACGTGGGCAGGGCGCGGTGGATCCAAGGGTACAGCAACCAACACGGTGACCGCACAGCTTGGGATTGAGCGAAAAATCCAATCAAGAGCTGAATCCGGCCTTATGGGTTATAGGAAGCATAGATAATAGAACGCTCCACATCACTGGGGCATGGTAGCTCTTACTGTAACTGTCGGTTTTTCTTTGCCTACCCGTAATAAGTCCAGTTCCCAGCTTGTATATTCTTAATTTGCTTCAATCCTTCTAGGTAACCCTTACTAATTATCCACTTTGATGTGGTGATTATCATTTCAGCAAATTTTTTTAATATGATATTTTGGCTGTGTTTGAACTTTCGTTGTTGTGTTAGTAGTACTATTAGCTATCATTAATTTGATACGACCCGTATCGTCATCTTCCACTACGGACTACGGTTAGAGTTACTTCCCCTTCTCCAAAACGAGGTTCGTCCGTTTCGGCGACCTAGTATATTTTCCTCCGTCTTAAAAGTATTTCTCCTTTTTCCCATTTTTATCAGAGTAAGTGATGGGTCTAGACTTATCTGCGCCTCATTAATTTGAAGCCAATCCCTACTTAATATCATGGACTAACACAGGGTCGGTGTCACATACATACTAATCTTAATAACTTAATTTCCCTTCCGTCTACCTGAAATATTTTTTGTTTTGTAACATATAGATTTTTTTTTCTAAATCCTTGTTGAAAATAATCCCTAGATCTAATCATCGAAATGGATGCCCCTCTATCGATTATCTGTCATTATTTAATTTCCCCCCACCGTTGCCTTACATGTTAAATCAGATTCCTGACCGAACAGAGCCAATGCACGCCTCCACTGGGTACATTTCTTCCTTAGATGACCAAACTGTTCACACCCCCCAACAAACCATTTGCCATCGACCTAGATGAGGTTTCCGTTTATTCCTTTCTTGAGTGGTCCTTTTTACTACAACTAATACTAGATCGACCACGACACCCTTCCATTGAGACACGGACCATCCCATCACATCCCATGTATGTGCCTTTGGGAAAACTCCAGTCTCTCGGTCTTTGACTCCTTTGTGCCACTGCAAATTCCTCTGCAAGTGTTGTGGCTGCTGCCCTAGCTGTATCTGTTCTTACGAATGTGTTTCTAATGGCGTCTGTTTAATACTCCGACAGATGGGTTTGGACGGCTTTTCCGTCTCTCTCTCTCTCTCTCTCTCTCTCTCTCTCTCTCTCGCTCTCTCTCTCTCGCTCTCTCTCTCCGGCATTCTTAAACACTATTTTGGCTAAATTTAGAAACTCTACAAGTTAGTTCTGACAATGTTTCCCTCTCGCCTTGTCTAATTCTAATTCTCTGACAGCATCAACTGCACTTACATTGCCTCCCCCGTTAATCATTAGTTGTTGCAAAAGATCCGTCCAGCTAGCTTCAGGGTTTTCGTCTATGAATAAACTGATATATTCGGAAACAATGCCGTCAGAGCACTCATATGCTTAACAATTTATGCATGCTTAACAAAGTTGACAATTTCTTCCGCCGTTAGATTATGGATTCAATGCTTCTGTTCAAACCTAAAATTCTGAATGCTTTCCCGCCTCTCGTAAAATACATCTATTGGATGCTTTAGTACACATCATCAGTGATGTTTATAGCTGAGGTTCATTAGGGATTTCGGGTCTTTCAACATCATAGCCCTTCTCTACGGTGACCCAGCCGATGCCCAGGTATCGACTTGTGTACCTTCCGTCAGCTTCAGTTTTTTCCATCTTCCGAAGTACACATCAAACGACTCTTCTTGGCAATTTATTGTCCAATCTCGGATGACTTCACCAGCAATGTGCGCTCTTCCATAAAAAAAGGAAGCAAAGGCAGCTACAATTTCTATCTGATCAGGAATATGTCGCTGTGCTTGGCTTGAAATGGTTAGTACCGATTTGCTCCCCCCGCCCGCGACAGAGAGAGAGAGAGAGAGAAAGCCACTTAAACATCACATTCTACTTATACTTAACCCCATTTTCATTCATGTCACTCATCCGCCGAAGGAAAAGAAAAAGGGAAAAAAAATTATTTCCTTTTCCACCTTCCCACTTTCCCACTTTTTTCCCGACCCTCCACTTATATGAGTTGTACACACGCACACACATATCAATGCCGCCACACACACACATGCAAACACACACATCTAAAAAGAAAAAGAAAAATAAATACCGTGACCTTGATAGGGGGTCAAACAGGTGCTAGATCTTAGCCAGGGATCACCCGTAGGTAACAATAGTTTGGGGTACCCTTATTCTGTCCCCTAGTCGAGACTTCATTGTCGGATGTAATTTTAGGTCATACCCAAAATATCCACAACTACCCCCAAAAAATATATATATATGTATGTATATATCAACCGCAACTTACTTTTATTTCCCTACTGACTTCCAGTCACTTGATCTTTTCAACCGAATCCATCTAAAAGACTCTTACGCTGCCAATGTTATTGAGCGAATAGCTTTGTTTTATTACCAAAGCTGTTACACCTAATTTTGACAACATCTTACATAAAGACCGCCCAGCAAAGCCTCTGCAACGGATTTCAATCCGTTTGCACTTAGCTCGCCAACCGCGTCTTTTACATTCCTTTACAATCAGTAAATATTTCCCAAGTTTCCTTTCGTAGGCTTCTTCCATATTTTCTTCCAAAGGGACTGTTAATTCTATGATGATTTGCTTGGTCTTTTCAGAATAAATAACCATGTCTGGACGAAGCTTAGTTTGTATTATTTCCACTGGAAATTTAAGCTGCTTGCCTATGTCTACTTTCAATTGCCAGTCCGGGGCAGAGCTGAGGAGGGATGTTTTCTCGTGCGATATCTTCACCTTTTCCAAGGCTTTGACAAAATTCATCGTCTTTTTATTCGGTTCATATCAGTTTTGTTTTAGACTCCTTGAAACTATTGTTGCAAGGACTCCTAAAACTTTATCATGGCGCCACCGGTACCTCCCCTCGCTAAGCGTTTTGGGGCAACCATTCATTATGTTTTGGAGAAATCCTCTGGCACAATGGCCAAAGTAGAGACTCACTCTTTCCCCACGTGTGGGGGTTTGCCGGACTGGACAGTGTATCATACACTGCCTGCACAAGAAACCTTGTATTACTGGGATTGGTGTACCAGTGATCTATCCAGGTTTCTCCATCTCGTCGAGAACTCCACCCCCACTAAAGCCACAAATTTACTTGACCTAATTTCTTCTTCGCTCTCGCTTCATATTGAAGACGGTGTTTATGATCTTTCCTTTCTTTTTTTTCTTCCCTCGTGGATTGGAAGAGTAACCTAAGCCTGATCTGCCCACTACTACTGTTCCTAATAGCGTTTTCTGTCTCGATCTTTGCTCTGCTGCACTGAGCACGTGCGATGCCTTCCACTTTCTCCCAGTTCGAACCTCAATACCTACTTCTGCAACTTTAGGATCTTTTGAATCCCTATATTAGATTGCCGCTCTCGTTTTCGCCACTTTAAACTCTTCCACTAATCCTCTGAAGGAAAGTTGCAATGTGTTAGAAACTCTATACAGAGCTGCACTGCTTAAACAATTCGGTAAACCGAACCATCTTCTCAAATATCCGCTCACTTTGTTTTTCTCCGTCTTCTCAACTGTTGTCAATGCCACTTCATATAACATCAGTGGCAACAAAATCTTTGGCAGAATGCTATGTTGATATATCCATGACTTAAAACGGCCTAGTAGACCTAATTTGTCCACTTTACTCAACATTGCTTCGGGGTCTGAAAATCATTTCTGGGTAGCATCAGTATCTTTTAAATTAGTATTGAAAATCTTCTCCAGGCACTTGATTGGTTTTTCTTTTAATGACGGGATAATATTTCCTGCAATTTTGAAAAGGAACTTTTCTATCACAATCCCTCTCTTCAATACTAATGACCTCAATTTTGTCGGTTTAAAATTCGTTCTTGCCCACGTCATTACCTTTTCTAAGCCTTTCAATATCCACCTACATTCAGGGACTGTGGATGTAGTAACTGTCAGGTCATCCATATAATCACGAATTGGGGGGTTGTCGTACTCCGTTTCTCATCACTGAACCTCGACACTCAACCTCTGCTGATTTTACTAACATGTTAATTGTTAAAGTAAATAATATCATTGAAATTGTGGAGCCAATTATCATTCCTCTTTTCTAGCCGATGCCAATCGGAAGATATCTAATCAGTGGTTGTTTTTATTTTAAAATCATTATAATAATCTTGTATGAGATTCCTTACACAAATAGGGACATGGTATCTTCTGAGAGCATCCTCTACCAATTTGTGTGGAACAGATCCATATGCATTAGCTAGGTCCAGCCATAGTACGACCAGATTGCCTTTCTCTTCTTTTGCTTCTCTTAGGAGCTGCGTTATTACGCCAATATGCTCCAGACAACCTGGAATGCCGGCAATCCTTCCCTTCTGTACTGAAGTGTCTATGTAATTGTTGGCACTTAGATAATGCCGAAGTCGTTGTTCTCAGTGTCCAGCAAAGAAATCATTCTGAACTGTTCAATTCCGTTTGGGTTTTCTTTTTTAGGAATCCATACTGCATTAGCGAACCTACATTGTTTTGCAACTTTACCTCTTCTCCAGATAGCTTTTAATATCTTCCAGAAATGTAACTGAATATTCGGACATCTCTTATAAACACTATAGGGAACACCGCTGGGTCCAGGGGCCGAATCTGATCTAGCTGCT